CCCCGTTCCTAAAACAAAGCAAATACAAACAAAAACGGGGGGAGGGGAAGAAAAGCCGTTGGTCCATACCCAACATTTATTGTTTTTCCGTCGGCGTGTTTGCGGAAGATGAGCCGCACCTGTAATGTCCACAGCTACTACACCTGTTCCAACATTGTTTGTCTACATTATCTGGGGCTTTTTGTAAAGGATCAGTCGTCAAAAAACAAAATGAAGCTTTTATTGGTCCCAAAACGTTTGGTCCATATTATTTAGGGGTTTCTGATGGTTTTCTAGAAGTTTTTTTTCGTGATTTTTGATGGAAAACTTGAGGATTCTTGGAAAAATTTTCTCTTTTATTTTCACGGCTCGTCATCATTATGTGCGGCTTTTTTTTTATGATTGTTTAGATTTTTTTTTTGCGGAGCTTCAGTGATAAAATCAGTATTTAATATTTTTAGGGCCTTTTCTAAAAATGTTAGTTATGGCTTTTTGATGGTTTTTTAGACTTTTCTTGTGACATTTAGGAAGATATTCAGAATTGTTCAAGGCTACACCTGTTCCAAAACTGATTTTCATAATCATTTTGTCCTTTTTAATGGTTTTTCCTAGCATTACTATCAAAAAAATTTGGGTTTTTTTGTTTCCTATCGAAACTTTCGTTTCAAAATGTTCTTTGAAAAATGTTTACGGCTTTTTTTTTCAACCACTGTTTTTCTGCGTATTTCAGTCATATTAATAATGCCGCGCTTCTTTTATGAATCTTGTTGAAAAAAATTAGAATTTGATAATTTTTAGAGAAACGACGATACCCAGAGAGCGTCGCCTGAATCCAAGCCGATGAACGGACTTTGATGGCCTTGTACCTTTCGATATTTTTATTATTTGCTGCATTTTCCCGGTCGACAGTTTTTGGTCAGTTTTCTCATAATTCTTATCATTTTTTTTGTTGATAATGGAAAATTTAACTTTAATATCGGTTGGAAAGTTCTCGAGGGTAGTTAGGAATCTCAAAAAATCTTCTGTAAGAATCAGTAAAAATATTTTGGAGTGAGATCAAGGTAATTTTTGCTGTTAACAAACTATAGGTTCTTGAGAAGCCTGAGATATATTATTTGATCGACTGTATTTCTTGAGATTTGAGAAAAGATTGAGTTCGAGGTTTTTTGTGTCAAGGAGTGGTCAAAAATATCTGGGAAGATTTCAAAAATCTTGAATAGAAGAATTTTGGAGTTGCGGTCATTTCTTAAAAAAAGATGGTTTTTTTGTGTCAAGGAGCGGTCAAAAAATATCTGGGAAGCTTTAAAAAATCCTAAAAGCCAAAAAGAATATGTAGGTTACTTAAGAGGTCACTCGAGACCAAGGTATTTTTTGTGTGTTAAGAACTGGTCGAGAATCTATGAGAAGCCTTCTTCAGATTAACTGTACCTTTGAAGATAAAATGGAGATAATTTATGAACAAGCCAGTTTTTTTTGGGTGTAGAAGCTGTAAAAAGTCCCTGAGAAGCCTGGTATTTGTTCTTCAGTTTAACTGTACATTTAAAGGTTTAACTTTGTCCAGAGGTCATCCAACCCTGAGCCAAGTTTTTTCTTAGTCAGCTAAAAATCCAGTAGAGATTGGAAGCAAGATAGAGGTTTTTAAGGTTTGAAGTTAAGAACCTTAAAAAATCTTCTACAAAAACTACTAGACGTCTGAAGTAAAGTAGAGGTCACCCAAGGTCAAGCCCACTCTGTTTTTTTCCCCCGAAGATTTTTGAAGTGGTCAAAAATTTGACAAGTTGACATGGAACAGCGGCTGCCGGCCGTCCGTCAATCAACGGACGGCCCTCATAATGCCCTAATATTGGCCGGGTTCCAATCTCACATACATCAAATGCACATTTGAGCTCTCCTGCTCCTGCTCCTGCTCAATTGCTTACCAAATACGGACCCCTTGACTCGTATCACTTTTGGTCCAGAGTCAATTTCGATTCGGTTAGGGGTTTAATGAATTTTGAAAAGAAGGTGGAGAAGTTGGGTTGATTTTGGCGGAATTTCAGTGGAAATTATGGTGATTGGAGTTTTTTGGATGAATGAATGTTGAAGGAAGAAGCTGAAAAAGTCGAGTTTTTCCAATTTTTGAAGGATAGGGAAGAAGAAAAAATAAGTTAGTCTTTGACAGGTTTTCATCAGAAGTTGACAGAAATGAGAATTTCGAAATTTTAAGCAAAAAAAAATCGACGTGGCACAAAATTTAGCTTCACCAGGAAGGTGGTTAATATACTTAATTTATTTTTTTGAATTTTTCTATCGATTTTTTTAAAAGCTAAAACCAGAAGAAGGAGCTGAAATTCTTGATGGAAATGAATTTTTTTCACTCAATTAAATTTTGAAAAAAATTGAGCCAATATTCTTCTCTTAATAGTCTCAAGTTAGTTGCTTTTTTTTTTGAACAAAACTCAGCGTTTTTTTTCGAAATCAGGATCTTGGTAATGAAGCTTTGAGCCTCAAGTTCAACGAGTCAAACTGTCTTCTAAGCAAATTTTTAAAAAAGCGTTTAAAAGTCTTCCATTTTTACATAAAAATTGGCCATATTTCCTCCTCCCGCCGTAAGAACGCATAAATTCTTGCGCAAGCCGTCTGCCCTGCGCAAAGCCAAAAAGCCAACGCCATCTGGTACAAATCGCCTTCTTCTTCTTCTTTTGCTTCGTTCGTCCGTCTCGGATGTTTGGGCGCATTCGCCAGCCGTTGCATGACGGCTCCCTAATCAAATTACAACATAAGCGTCGGTCTTCGGACGTGGCTCTTCCAGCCAGAAGAGAGCCGCTAATTTTTTTCCAAGGGGCTCTTGAGACTTGAGAGATGAAAGTTGGCGCTTGGCGGGATGGTTTTTGAGCCCAAATTAGGGAAACTTTCATTCTTTCGTGGTTTAGAACGACTTCGAGGTAGAGTAAACTGATTCTGAATTAACGGCTCTTTTTTGAAGATTCATTTTTCCCAAGGGGTACTGGAGACTTGAGAGATGAAAGTTGACAGTTGGCGGGATGGTTTTTGAGCTCAAATTGCGAAAATTCTCCTTTTTTCGTGGTTCGGAATGACTTGGAGGTAGAATAGACTGATTCTGAACGAACAGTTCTTTTCTGAAGACTTGTTTTTTCGAGGGGTTCTTGAGACTTTGGCGGGGCTTTTAAGCCTTGAGTTTCTGCAAGTGATTTTCGATAAGACACGATTTTAGAGTATGATAGACATTGGTGAGATCTCGGCTAGATAATTTAGGCTTTACAAGAAGTTTTTCGATTTTTTTGAACGACTTCGAGGTAGAATAAACTGATTCTGAATGACTGGAGACTTGAGAGAAGAAAGTTGGCGGTTGGCGGGATGAGTTTTTGAGCTCCAAAAACACGTTTTATACATATATATTTTTGGGGGTAGAATAAGTTGATTCTTAATGAACAGTTCCTTTTTGAAGACATTTTTCCAAGGGGTACTGGAGAATTCAAAGTTGATAGTTGGCAGGAATTAAGGGGAGGTTTTGCTAAGGTCAGTGGTTTTTCCTATCGAACTTTCCATAATCAAACTATTAATAATAACATTCCTGACACTTCGGAAGTGGTTTAGCTGAAAACCCCGCCTTTTTCTATCAGATCTTGAGAGATTGATGGAAGTTCCCCTTTTGTTCGGATGGATTTTTAAGCTTCAAAGTTTGGCCAGTCTTTGTTCTAAGAAATTTAGGTTTAGGAAAAGACGAATTTGGATGAAAAGTTATTTTTAGCGACGTAAAATACATGTCGCACTTTTTTTTAGAAAGACTTTTTCTTGAAAAATGCCAAAATCATGTTTTTTTTTTTTCATCTACTGAATGCGCCATGTAGCGTAACCAAGTCTTGATACAAAAAAAATCTCCTTTTTTCCGATTCTTTGACGAATTTTCTGAAAAAAACGTTCCTCAGCGCGCCCTAAACTCCTATCCTAATCAAGAGCCTCCTCTGGCCAAAAATCCGCCTCTAATTAGCCCCAGCACTTGACTAAACGAACACCGAAGTGGGAAAGGAGCGGCCGGATCAAATCGAGTTACGTCGTGGCTCATTAGAGCTTCTCCTTCTCCTCCTTCTTTTTGCACACGTCTCCTTCGAAATTCTTCATCCCCGAACACTTGGAATATTCAGCAGAATCATGTCATTTCCCCCCTTTTTCCGCCAAGACGCTTTGCATTCAATAAGCAAATTCTGCGTGGTTATGCAAAACGAGTGGAGAACGTCTTTGGCGGCTGGAATAGTCCATTCGTAACAGCGTTCTTGGAATTTTGAAGGAGCTGGGATGAGATTTCTCGAAACGAGTATGCAGCGATTTTTGACGGGTAATTGCGCTCTACGGATAAAAGTTAGCTTTTATGCTAAATAGGAGGTTTGAATAGAAGTTAAGGAGCCATTAGGGAGGGATTTTTTGATCAGATGGATGAGAAATGAAAAGTTTCGCAAAAGGAAGTGAGTTGCGCTCCATGGGGAAGGTTTAAAAAAAATTTGCGAATCAGACGTGTCGGGGCCACCCTAGGGACCACTTTAGTAGCGTCAGTACTCTTAAGTGATCTCCCAGAGTTCCTCAAAAAGGTCCGAGAAGTTTGAGATATTTTTGAAAATGGCGTTTTTTTGTGAAGGAAACTCATTGGCCATTTTTGTTGGTCATTTGCGCTCTAATGATAAAATGCTAAAATTTTTTTCGATTTTCACTCTGACATTGGTAACGCGAAACGGACGTGCTCCGGACGTTTCTGGGCGATCCTAGGGTATCACTAAAAAGTGCTGCGGCTACTAAAGTGGTCACTAGAAATGCCCCGACACGTCCGATTCGCGTCCCGTTTGCGCTACCAAAGTCCGAGCAATTTGGGCTTTTCTTACATTTTTAAATCTTGTAACCTATTCAAAGGAATCTAGAGACACTAAAATAAAACTTCAAATAGCGCCTTTGGTAGAACTAACCCCATCCAACGTTCAATCTCAACCCAAAATCTCAAAACTCAAGTGTTTACCCAATCCAAAGAACCCATGCCGACAGCCGGCTTACCCATAAAAGGTGGTAATTATTATGTGATGGCTAGAAAAATAAGCAGGGAAGAAGAAGTGACAGTTTTTGGCCGGCCATCTGGTGCAACCATAAATAATTGGCCCCCGCGTCTTCCTTTTGTCGGTCCGGACAGGCAAATTGCCGGTTTTCTTTCATTTGTTTCCGGAGAAACGGATAACGTGGAATTAGGAGTGGATCTTCCGAATTTCGACTTTGAATTGAAGACAACACCTTTGGCCTAATTACAGGTGAGGCGTTGAGAGGGAGGTTTTAGTGGACATTTGAGACGAAATTAGTAGTTTTCATGTAGGAATGAGATTGTTAGAGGGGCCTTTAACTTGAAGTTTATTTCATTTTTCAGTCATTTTGGGTTTTTTGGGCGTCCTAAAAATCAACTTCAAAGATATTTATGACTGGATTTGGCAGCAGGGGAGATATCTTAAAAATTATTATTTCGAATAGAAAAAGAAAACTTGAAAAATCGCCTGAATAAAAGGTGCATAACCTTCTACGCTCCATGGATATAAAAGACAAAAAACTTGAGAAAGTCGATTTTTTCTATATTTTTCACCAAAATTCCTGAGCTTGACGAGTTGAGAACTTGGAAAAATGATAAAACTCCATTTTTAAGTCTTTTTCCTAGTGTCAAAGCCCAAAATTGAATTTGCTTCCTTTGAACTTGAAACAAAAGTGCAATATGCGTGTGGAGAAGCATTTTTGGATGCGGGACACAAGGTCTAATTAGCGCCAAGATTTGAAGTGGCCACTTGAGGGCGGCTCAAGCGTGCGAACGCGTCGTTTCGCGCTTCTTGTACTACTAGTAACAGGATTTCTTTTTCGAGCGGTTTTTGGGGTTTCACTGAATCTTTTTGCTAAACTTAAAACTGCGCCCGACCTTTAACGACTTACGCTTGAGGCTAGAAGATGGGGAGTCATTTTTTGCGATGCCAAGGCGATTGAAGTCTGAAAAAATACTCAGAACTTTCAAATCAAACGCTCAAAATATTTTTTTTTTCCTTTTTTTGTGATACAAAGTTGTTTGGAATCTGGAAAATGTACAGCAAAAATCTTGAAATAGCTTAAAATCACTCTTTTTTCCAGGTGCCACAGAATGTTCGGACGTGTCATTTTCCACGAAACTTGCCAAATTGGACGGTGTAAAGCGGATAACCAGGTTTTACTGCAAAAATATCCTTGAAAATCAAAAGTTTTCAAGATTTGCCGTGAGCGGTCACATATCCGCCTATACGGTAGCCGCCTCGATTTCCGATGACGATTTTCAACAAGTTCGACAGGCCAATGGGAATCCATTGGTTGGTTTTTGTAAAATCGATAAAATAACAAGGGATAAGAATAATTTGAGTTGAAAGTAGAGAAATTGAGTGAAATGAGACAGTGCGAATGACTGAAGAGACGCCAGAGAAGTTAGAGAGCCTTTTTTCTCTGGTGTCTCTTCAGGACGCTTTCACTGTTTTGAGAGTTTTTAATGATGAAAAATACCGATAAACTAACGGGAAATAAGGGAAAACAAGAAAAGTGAGAGATTACGAAGTTCTGAAGAGACGCCAGAGAAGTTAGAGGGCCTTTTTTTCTCTGGAGTCTCTTCAGGGGCTTTTGATGTTTTGCGAGCTTTTATGATTGACAAGGAATAAAACCGCTTATAAAAGAAGGGAATAATGTTTGAAAGTAACAAGAAGCGAGAGATCAACTGTGGCTTGAAGAGACGCCAGAGAAGTCAGAGCGCTATTTTTCTTTGGAGTCTCTTCAGGGCGCTTTTGATGTTTTGCTAGCATTTAGTGATGAGAAATACCGATAAAAAAAAAAGGTGAAATAAGGGAAAAAAACAAGAAAAATGAGAGATTACGAAGGTCTGAAGAGGCGCCAGAGAAGTTAGAGTGTTATCTTTCTCTGGGATCTCTTCAGGACGCTTTTGATGTTTTGCTAGCATTTAGTGATGAGAAATACCGATAAAAAAAAGGTGAAATAAGGGAAAAAACAAGAAAAATGAGAGATTACGAAGGTCTGAAGAGACGCCAGAGAAGTCAGAGCGCTATTTTTCTTTGGAGTCTCTTCAGGGCGCTTTTGATGTTTTGCTAGCATTTAGTGATGAGAAATACCGATAAAAAAAAGGTGAAATAAGGGAAAAAACAAGAAAAATGAGAGATTACGAAGGTCTGAAGAGGCGCCAGAGAAGTTAGAGTGTTATCTTTCTCTGGGATCTCTTCAGGACGCTTTTGATGTTTTGCTAGCATTTATGATTGACAAGGAATAAAATTGCTTTGAAAGGGCCAAAAAGGGGAATCATGTTTGAAAGTAATAGGAAGCGAGAGATCAACAGCGGCCTGAAGAGACGCCAGAGAAGTCAGAGGACCTATTTTCTCTAAAGTCTCTTCAGGCTCTCAGATATTTCTTTTTAGCTGAAAATGATCAGAAATGTTTTTATTGAAATCGCACGGCAATGTTTATTTTTTATTTCAGAAGTAACAAAAAAATCATGAAAAATGGAAGGAAACTTAGCGCCTGACGAGATCTCAAAATGAGTTATAGTTCTTTCTCTCATGAATTTTGAAAAAAGCTTCATTTCAACGAAAAAAAAAACCACAATTTTCCATCCTATCCATTTACAAATCCCCTCGGAATCCCCTTGATGTCCTTCCCCAACAAAAACAGCAATCCGTCAAGGAAGCATTTTTTGATGGATCTTTCCGGTCCTTGTCCTGCAGTTTTTGGTGGATTTGATGGATTTGAGAAAAAAAGCAGATGCTTTTAATGGGCGGTTTTAGGGATTTTGGGATGTTTTTTTCGAAGAAATTATAAGAAAAAAACTAATGAAAAAAATAAATAAAATTGGTAATAATTTTTTTGCAGAAATCTGGAGTTTTCGTTTTTTTAACTGGCTTCTGGACCAGTCTGAGCTAATTTTTTTGAAATTTAAAAAGAAGGATTTGATTCGAAAATTTTAAAAAAAGATGTCAACTTAACAAAGAGGGACAAGATAAGCCCAAAACTAGAAAAAAATCCTATATTTTTTTGGTTTAGTCCCCGAGTAAAACGTATTTTCTACTGATTAATCCAATTTTCGAGATATTTTCCTTATCACTTTTCTCTGTATTTAATTTTAGAAACCCTTTTTTTTTAGGTACTCTACTCAACCCTCTCCAACATCCCTTCCTGGACCCATGTCGATATTTTGGCCTCGGTCGTCAAAATCAGCCCGGCTTTCGATTCCATCACTGAAGATGTCCAAAGTCCTCTTCTTATCCTGACCGTTTGCGATTACGGTGAGGATTGCTGTATCCTACAGTGTTCGAGTAGTTTTAGTGGAAGAGTTAGGAAGCGAGAGATCAACTGCGGTCTGAAGAGACGCCAGAGAAGTTAGAGGGCTGTTTTTCTCTGCACTCTCTTCAGGCTTTTAGAGTATTCTTTTTAGCTTTAAATGATCAGAAATCTTTCGATTCCATCACTGAAGATGTCCAAAGTTCTCTCCTTATCTTGACTGTTTGCGACTACGGTGAGGATTACTGTAGCCTAAAGAGTTCAAGTAGTTTTAGTGGAAGAGTTGATGATTTCTGTGACTAATCGATTTGACAAAAAAAACCTTGAACCAAAAATTTCCAGTTGCATTCCTTTCTGAACTCTTTTAATGGATGCAAGGATACATTATGATTTTATGACAAGAACTGCTTTTTTTTTAGCACTTTTTCAATAATAAAGTCAGCTTCAAAGTTAGGATGGTTATGAAGACAGATTTTAGAACAGTATAAATTATAAATAAAGTATAAATTGACGAAAATTATCAAGAAAATGAACACAAAAACGTGAGAAAAGTACGAGAATTCAAAAAAAAAAAACCTTTCTGTAGCTGATTCTCGGCTTGAGCCATCAAAAAAAGGTCCCGACACGATAATAAGAGATAGTGCCTGATTGGTGGAGAGCGCAGACAGGCCACGGCCTCCTAACGTCCCAAGCTAGCCGTGAATCAGCTATACAGCGGGTGTTAAAGGAATATCAACACGTCAGTAGTATTTTAGTAGCTTTTCCGGTCTTGTTTGATTCCCTTTTTAAATGAAATTTGATAAAAAAAATAAAAGCCCTCAACAAACTTTTTTTTGACCCTTTGAGACCGAAAATCAGTTTTTATATGATTAGATAAAGCTGCTCGAAGCTTCCTTTGTTCTTTTTGCTTTCAAATCTTTGCTCGATCCTTCATTCATCTTGAATCTAACTTCCAGAAACCCAAATCACGTCATTCGATGACTCGTCCTACACAGTTGACACCTACGCTGCTGGATTGGTTTCGATGTTAGATATTTATCGATTTTTATCATTCTTCTTGTTTCAATTTTAATAATTTTTGTTGAAAATTATAATTTTGCAGGTACGAAAACGAGTTGACGGTGGTTTTCCGGTCCTACCGATCCGGCATATTTTTCTTCTCGATGGCCGATCAGGGCGACGTTCTGGTGGCTCAGATCGTCCATGGCACGATTCATGTCATTTTTGATTTTGGTAGGGGTTTTTTGAATTGATTTTTTTTCGGTTTTATTGTTATTTTTGTTGTTTAGAAGGATATTTATCATTTTTTAGGCTCCCTAACACCGTCAAGGATCAGCGCTGGTAAGGCCCTGGACGATGGAAAATGGCACGAGGTGGAATTTTCTTTTTCATACGCTAATTTTCAATTTTCAAGTAGTTTTGAAGTCTTTTTTGTGCAGAAATTGCTTCGAAATCGTTTTTTTTTGAAAATTTGCACGTTTTCTCTGTACCTTCTGAACATTTTCCGACTTTAGATGCGTTGGCTACACCAATTCGATTCGGTTCAACTATCCATCGATGGAGTTTTATTGAATCAAACGGCTCCGACTGGCCTTTTCCGCAAATTGGACCTCCATAATGTTGTAAGTTTCGAAAACCTACAAAATTACGAAAATTTTCAGTTTTATGTGTGAAAAACCCCAAAATTCAATGAGAAATAATGAAATAACTTATAGGAAATTTTGAATATCTGTGAAAAAATTGAACCTGGATTTTTTAAAATACTATCAAAGACACTGCTGACTGGACTATGAGCATATCAAAAATCTTCTTTTTCTTATTTTTCTCTCTGATCGCCTTGATACTCTGCCGCCTCTGCCAAGGTGTATGGCGCCGAAAGTTGCCTCTCTAAGATGTGTCTTCGGTAGTATAGTGGTGAGTATCCGCGTCTGTCACATGCGAGACCCGGGTTCAATTCCCGGCCGGAGAGAAATCTTTTTGCCATTTGTTTTTGTTTGTTTTATGAAGTTTCATAGCTTAATTTTTGAATTTTATTGATGGAAAATTATATGAACAGCAGGGCAAAGGGTCAAAATTGGAAGAAAATTAATTATATTGGATTTTCAACAAGGATTTTGCATTGAAAGGGTTTTGGCTTAATAAAAAAAAATTCTTCAATATATCCTAGATCAGCTCCACTTATTGACATTTTTCGAACATTTTTTGACCTTATAAATTTAAAATGGAAATTTACAGGTTCACATTGGCGGCCGACCTGCCGACGACTTCTCCCAAGGCATCGAAACGACATTTTCCGGCTGTATTGCACGTCTTCAACTGAATTCGGCGGATCTCCTCCATTACTCGCGTCAAAATGCTAACAATCGATGCAGTGTTCGTTTTTTTTAAATTCTCACGGACTCTTAGTGATAGTAACGTTATGCGGTGGCGGCGCGGCTTCTGGCGGGAAGTTCAAATTTGAACGCAAGTCGCTTTTTTATGTTTGATATACTGATCGATTTTCGGCAGTTTTGATTTATTATAACTTGATTTGAGAGCTGCAAATCGGTTTTGTTTGTCATTTTGGGAGCTGGAAATCGGCCCACGTTTATCCTTTTGGGAGCTGCAAATTGCTGAACGTTTCATGTTTTGGGAGCTGCAGATTGGTCTTTGTTATCATTTTGGGAGCTGCAAATCGGCCCACGTTTATCCTTTTGGGAGCTGCAAATTGCTGAACGTTTCATATTTTGGGAGCTGCAAATCGGTTCACGTGTATCATTTTGGGAGCTGCAAATTGGTTTTTGCTATCAATTTGGGAGCTGCAAATTGGTCTTTGTAATCATTTTGGGAGCTGCAAATTGCTGAAATTTTCTTATTTTGGGAGCTGCAAACCGATCCATGTTAATCATTTTGGGAGCTGCAGATTGGTCTTTGTTATCATTTTGGGAGCTGCAAATGGTCTTTGCTATTATTTTGGGAGCTGTAAGTTGGTCAACGTTCATTATTTTGGGTGCTGCAATTCGACCCCATTTTTTTTTTTGCTTATTCTGGATGTTACGATGGGGTTGTTTCATGCTAATAGCTGTTAGAGGAAATCAGCATTTGAAAATGCGTTAACTTCATATTCTACCAACCCTTGCGCTTTGATTCGAAATTCGGGCCAAAAAGCCTCGTCGCGAACGAATTTACAGTAACTTGTGTCCATCTCCTTCAAGTCAGAAAAAGTCTAAGATTTATTTTTCCATCCAAAAATCTGAATTTTCAGATGCCAAGACCGCCCTCTTTCACCCTGCACAACGGCTCCCAGGCCATTCTTCCCTTCACTTTTCTCCCGTTTTCCTTCGAATTCCGACTCGTTCCCGTCGCTGGACCGATGCTAACCCTTTTGGATGCCGATAATGGAACCTTGATCGATATCGTCGTGGACGAGGAACTGAAGATGATGTTGGTCAGCAACGTCACCAAGTTCAAGCAATCCGCCAATCCTGGGATTCAAGTGGCCGACGGGGCTTGGCACAGCTTCTCGTTGAGGATTCGGGGCGCCCGGCTGGAAATCGATGTTGATGGGCTTACGGTGGGTTACTGTAGAGTTTTTGGGCCGGTGATAGATTTTTTGACTTTGAAAATCAAGTTCCAAGATTTGTGAGAGTCTATATGATATCCAATAAATTCATAGCGAAAATCGAAGTTTTGGAGCGAGACATTTTCCAGACCCTCTGGCTGGAAGGTCAAGAAGTGCGACGGATCTCGGTCAGGCTCTCCAATTTCATCATTTCGGCTTCTGGCTGCTTCCGATCGGCTACCATCGACTTTGGAAGTGTTAGAGTTGAAGGAGAGGTCACACGTGGCGAGTGCAATTTCACGGAGAAGTTGGGAACTTCCTTGAGAATCAAAGGATTTCGGAAGTTGTAGATGTCTACCGAACCCTTGTGAGAATGGCGGAAGTTGCTCCCAGATTTCTCTTTTCGACTACGTCTGCAAGTGCACCGATGGCTACAAGGGGAAACATTGCCATACCAGTGAGTTTGGGTCTTTTTTAGGAAACTGAAAATGGGAGATGTACAGAGTCTTCAGAATTATTTTTTACTTGTTTTAAAGCTCTTCAAATTTTTACAAAAAACGGTTCTGCTCCGAGATTCGAACCAGCCACCTCTCAATCTCTAGAATTGGCTCTTACCAACTGAGCTACGACTTAGTTTCAATTTTTGCAGCCGACCTTCCCCACTCCTGCGAAGAGTGGGCCTTCACCAAGGGCAACAAGGTGAAGGCGGTCCGAGGCCGAAACGTGACGATCGACGTCGATGGCGGCGGTCCGATGCCGCCGATCGACGTCATCTGCCGTCTGGAGCGAGATGACGTCGGCGTCGACGGCGTGACGACGATTCTGGAGCACGACCTTCAACGTCCGATGATCGTCACCGGTGATAATAAACCGGGAGCCGTTCGGCACACACTGAATTATGGAATCACGACGGATCAGATGGACAGACTTGTAGAGGGTTTTGAAGGCTGCACCCAGGTTTTGGACTTCTGAGGGTTTTGAAGACAGAGGTTTTCCAGTACATGAGGTATACCTGTCGGGGAGGCGTCAGGCTGATGACCCAAGGCGAGGAAAGGTCACCGTCTTCGTGGTACTCGACGAGGTGAGAGAATTCGAAAAAGAAGTGTTTTCTATGAAACAAGTATCAAACTATTCCAGATCCGACAAACACGGCCTACAATGGGGAGAAGCACCCCCGTACAGCCGGATGTGCTCCTGTGCCATCAACGGAAGCTGTCTCCACAATCGGTGACGTCTTCTGAATCCACGTCTTCTGAAGACCAGAATATTCAGAATGTGCAACTGTGATTCTGGAGAAGACGCGACGGACGACGGCGTCAACCCCTACGCCCAGCTTCTGCCCGTCACTGGCCTCTTCTTGGGAGGAACTACCAAGGCTTCATCGATCGAAGTCGAAATTGGATCGTTGAAGTGTCGGAATCGAGGTTTTCTGACGTCTTCAGAAGGAAAACGATGAAGTTTCCAGTTTCCTTTGACGCCATTACCTTTTCGGACCGGAATGCGAGATTGATTGGAGTTCAAACTTTCGCCTCGAGGATTTTCGACCTCAGCTTGCACCTCAAGTTTGCCCATAGTCAAATGAGCGTCATTTCTTGGCATTCCGTTGATGATCTCCATTGGTTCCATCTCTATGTCAATGGTGGGTTTTTTGGAGGGTTCTCGAGAACTGAGACTAGGGATATGAGGAAATTTACATGTACAATCTTGACGTAGAAAAAAAGTATTTTTTTATGACTTTTTCTGATCCGGAACAGTATCATTGCTATTTTTTTAGGTTTTGAAATAGATTGTTTCAAAATCGAGCCATTTAGTAGTTCTAGTTTTAATGATCCGATTTGAGTAAAATCAACGGTTCTAAGCTTCCCAGCATGTCTTCTTTCCGATCAGTGAAAAATTTGACCTCGAAAAGCTTCAAAAACTCCAAAAGATCCGATTTTCCCCCAATTTTAAGCGGGAGAGTTGAACATGGGAACTTCGAAAATTTGCAACTGTGGTTTTAATGGTCCGATTTGAGTAAAATCAACGGTTCTAAGCTTCCCAGCATGTTTTCTTTCCGATCAGTAAACGATTTGACCTCGAAAAGCCTCAAAATCTTCAAAAGATTCGATTTTCACCAATTTTAAGCGAAAGAACTGAACTGGAAAACTTTAAAAACTCATAAATCCAGTTCTAATTGCCCTATTTGGATGAAATTAACCTTTTTTTAAGCTTCTCAGCGTGTCTTGTTATATATCAGTTAAGATTTGATACCAAAAATCCTAAGCAGTTTCAAAAAATTCAATTTTCCTCCAGTATAGGCCTAAGATTTGAACATGAGAAAATCAAAAATTCATAAATTTATTTGTGATGGTCCGATTTTACTCAAATTAACTTTTCTAAGCTTCTCAGTGTTAATATCAATAATTATTTCTCGAACTGTCAATATATAGATGGCAAAATCGTTGCGGAGATCGTCAATGGCGGGGAATCTCAAAAAATCGTCTCTGATCATCGTTACGACGAAGGAAGGTTTGATCTCAGATTATACTATTTTTGAACCGTAGATCAAAAATCAAGAAAAATAACTCTCAGATGGCACTCGATCTATTGGGAAGCCGACCCAACAGGAATGTCCCTCAAAAATCGATGGAACTAAAAAAAGTCGATCCAACAAAAACCTGATCCTTCCAAATGTCTATAACTGGAATATCGGTGATTTCCCTTACATTTTTTATATTTTTAGTATTTTTAGGTTCTCGAACTGAAAAAGGTATCACTGGTTTTGCTGGAGTTATTAGAAATGTCTATTTGTGCGGCCAGGAATTGGCTCTGAGCCAAACTGTGAGAAAAGATTCGGAGCGAGGTTGGAAAAACAAAAAAAAAAACCAGAATAATTTAAATCCAGGAATATCAATTGACGATGAGGGTTACTGTAGGCCGGATCTGTGCCAAAATGGCGGTCGGTGTGTCGACAAATATGACGGTTACGTGTGCGATTGCTCGATGACCCCGTTTGGCGGATCCGATTGTACCAAAGGTAAGGATTACGGTGGAAAAATGGGGGTACTGTAGGTGCAGAAAATATCGGAGTACTTGTTTGTGTATACCGGCAATTTGAAAAATGGAAATTGAGTTTTAAAATCGCTTCTTTATGCAGAAACTGATGGTAAAAAAATGAAGAAGAACTCACTCCGGAATCCCAGAGTGGTACTTATAGGGATTAGAGAAAAACAGCCTCTACAGGGACAAAAAAGTGGTACCTATGGGGGTTTGAGGCCTGACCTCTTGGGGAGAATTGAAGACAAGGGTTACGGTAAGCGTCGGTTGTGCAGTGTACCTCACGCCAAGAGGAAGACATGCTTTTTTAACCAAATTTTTATGGCGTGTTCATCGGACAAAACGAAAATTGTTCCGAAACGCGAAAAAATTGCTTCAAAACAAAAATTAGTACTGTTTTGAAGCAACTTTGGCGCGCCAATGAACACGATTTTTCGTTTCGAAGCATGTTCCGTTTCTCCAATGAACACGCCATTAGTATTTTTTTGTTTTTGTATTTTTTTATGGATTGGAGTCATTCAATCTGACATTGATGCCACCTAAGAAGTATTTTCCGCGAATGCCGAAATCGTCTCTTACTCTCAAAAATTTAGTTATCTTTTTCTTTCTTTATTGGCCATTTTGGATGTCGCGATTCACTTTGAATACGGTATGAATTTTGCAAACTAAGGAGAATACAGGTTTCTATGTTTCTTGATGATTTTTTGACTTTCGCGGTTTTCCAAAAAAAAAAAATCCCGCTCACGCTCAAAATCACGCCTGTTTAAGGTGGCCGGTCGTACTACGTTAGTTTTGGATAGGGTTTTCAATAATAAAATGAAATCTTGTTTACTTTTTGTGACGTAACTTACCTTGTGACCTCGAGAAAATAGGTCCTTTACAAGTTTCAAAAAAGTAAGAAAATTAAAACATTTCCTGGCTCCGAAACTGATTGCACAATATTGACCGGCCACCGGCCGCCGTAGTACTGTCTCAAACATGCGTGATTCTTTGATTTGAATATCACAATGCCAGATCCAAAGAAGCATTCATTCCAGAGTATGGCATGACGGTCCCGGTCGGCTCTACCATCGAAATCCCGTGGCAGAATCCGGCCCACACCTCAACTTGCCACCGGATCGCCATTCAAACCGCCTCCAGAAACTTTTCGCTTCTGAAATCCAAGGCTCTCTTCGCGGATTCGACGTTCAACATGACAGTTGATGAGAATGGTTTCTTTTTCTCTTGTAGAATCCTATCTTCGAAGAGATTTTTAAAAAAATTGAAAGAAAAGGGTTTTCAGATTTTCTGGTAGATGAATTTGTGAAAAAATGGTTGAAAATCATTTTAAAGTAGCTGAAAATTGGCCTCTGCGTTTAAAATGGTTCATTTTTTTTTCCTTTTTTCGCCGGCCATTATGGATTTAGCGGTGTGAATGTGGAGCATATTTTTAGAATTTTTAGCGATTCTGAGATTTTTTCTGGTACATTTTGAACTCAAAGTTCTTTCATGGAAACCATGTCAAAGGTGACTTTTTAGGCTTTGAAAAGCAGGAAGTGATTCGAAAAAAAAATGTACATGAAATGGAATTATACAACGTTTTTTTTAAGGTCACATCCACGTCGACGTCTACGACGGCTTCTTCTTCAGCTACAAAGAGGAAAGTCGGAGGCAGAATCTCAGTGATGACGTCATGCACGACATCGCCTTCTGTGCGTCCCTCAACCAGTTCAACTTGACGGTTCCAATAAATTCTGAAATGAAAAATGACGAAAGTTTTGATAGATCGATGGGGAGATGGCGATCAAAATGAGTGGAAACTGGACCTTTTTCTCGAATTTCAACGTTTGGCACTTTTTGGATCCTGGTTGGTTTTGGAAATATTTATTTTCAGCTTGCGATTTAGAGTTCTATACATCAATATTGTGACATCTCGGGTAAGGTCGGAATGGTGGATAGTGGCCGCTAAAAGGGAGAGGCTCAAAAAAGGCCACAGAAAGGCAGCAAAAAGGCCACAGAAAGGCAGCAAAAAGGCCACAGAAAGGCAGCAAAAAGGCCACAGAAAGGCAGCAAAAAGGCAGCAGAAAGGCTCAAAAAAGGCAGCAGAACGGCTCAAAAAAGGCCACAGAAAGGCTCAAAAAGGCAGCAGAAAGGCTCAAAAAAGGCCGCAGAAAGGCAGCAGAAAGGCTAAAAAAGGCAGCAAAGAAAGTCCCTTTATCGAGCCTTCCATTCTTTCAAGGATTTTGAAAATTCGAGAAATGGTGGAGAAAGGGAGAGGCAGCAAAAATGATGCATATGGGCTGAGAAAATGGCCCAAAAAGGCTGCAAAAAGGGAACCTTCATCACCATAAAAGGAACATTTCTTTGGAGCCTTTATGGACCCTCGGAGGGTCCTCCCGACTTTGCCCATGATAAAAATAAATAATGAATGACTTTTAAGTTTCTTGTCTGTTTTCGCAACCTTTTTTCGGTATACTCTCTTTTTTTTCCCGCAGATTTCGTCGGCTGTGTATCCCGAATGCAAACAGGCTCAGCTTTCCCCTTGAAAAACCCAAAAGCGGCTCGTCTGAACTATTCCGGGAAGATCAAGTTTGGCACCTGTCCGGTGGATTCGTTGTGAGTTCATGTTCTAGCTTTTTTCAACCTAGAGGAAGGTTAACAGAGTCTTTTCGGATGGTAAAACCGTTCAATATAAGGAAAAAATAATTTTCTAAAGATCTTGAGAATTTCGTCATAGTATAGTCAATGTTTCCTGACTTGAAAGGCGAGGGAGGCGGGGCAAGGGGCGGGACGCGTAGCGTGTGCGTACGCGGTTCTTGGCGTCAGTTCAGTTCAATCGCAGTCGACAAATTAAAAAGCTCGGCAATCGCTCTTTTTCTGTGGTTTCTACTATTTTTTGATGCACACTTGAACATAATCAATAAATAATTATTAAAGGAGTTAAAAGAACGATAAATAAGCTCTGACTGCTCGCTGGCGGTTGAATTGAACACGTGCCAAGAACCGCGTACGCACACGCTACGCGTCCCGCCCCTTGGCCCGCCTCTCTCGCCTTTCAAGTCGGGAAACACTGACTATACCTAGTTTGGAAAGTTAGTTTCAAACTGGGAAAGTAGTTTTTTTTTTTTCGGTTTTTTTGAATTGAATCTGAGAAAATCGTCAACATTTTTAGTGTCCACTTTAGGGGTCACTGGTCCAATCTGTTTTTTTTTTAAATTATCAGAGTTACTGGAAGGAATACTGGATGAAAAACTACTAAAGTGGCCACCAAATGAAGAACCTTTATAGTGGTCACTAAAACGAAAAATAGGGGCCACTATAGAGGTGGGTTTAGTGACCACTTTAGTGTCCTCTAGAAGTAGTCCTTGGTGAGGCCACTAAACACTTTCCCAGATATCCGTCCGTTTCAGACTTTTCATTTTTGAAATGAAGTTTCAGCTACACTACAGCGCGGTATGAAACGGTTTCCACGTCGACGACTCCGCCGCCTGGCGATATTCACATTTTTGCCATTTCTCAGCACAAACAAAGGATCGTATCGATCACAAGTGGGTATTGGTTTATTTCCGATACAAGACGTTCGAAAAGAGTCGAGTTTCTTTGAAAAATGAATTCCCAAAAAGGATATTTTTCAGCCATCGGCGGAGTCTCACTTCTGGCGGCTCTAATCGTACTGCTCCTTCTCCTCGTCTGCTACATGCGCTCCAGACCCGAAGGCGTCTACAAAACCAACGAAACCGGCGAGAATTGCTCGCCGAGCCGCAGCGAAGAGCCCCTCGTCCACAGGACCCCCAACTTATCCCACAGTCACCATTGTAGTAATAACAATACCCACACCAACAATAACGCCTCCCGAAGTCATTCCGGCTCAGCCGAAAAGGAGTACTTTTGTTGAAGTTTGTATGCTAGATTAGCATGAGTTTATCCAAGAAACAGCCTAGAAAGATGTCCTTGGACATTGGTAACGCGAAACGGACGTGCTCTGGGCGTTTCTGGGCAATTCTAGGGATCACTTAAGAGCGCTGAGGCTACTAAAGTAGTCACTAGCAATGCTCTGACACGTCGCGTTACCAAAGTCCGAGAATCTAAAAGACGTTTCAACACTTTATCAATGGAGCGCAGAAAATCAAAAAAAGAAATTCGATCTTTTTCTTTTTGTTCAGTTTTATTGAACCGCGAACTTAAAAAGTATCCATTCAGATGTAAACCTAAGTAGTTAGAGATTCAAAGTTATACGACAATCTTTCACTTAATTTCCAGGCTGTTTTCTTGGCCATTTTTTGCATTTCAATCGGTCTTTTTTGGTTGAAACCGTCATTGATTCCTTTGCACGCACTCCGAAAACTGCATATTCCAATATTTAACGAGAAAAGTACGTATTTTGCTCATTTTTGATCATTTTTATAGGCCATTCTGCGCTAGCTTGTCACGTTTTTTTTTCCGCCGAAAGGCCAGGTCAATTTTACCAACTTTCGCTTCAAGACCTTCGTTTCCTGCCGTTATAAAAGCAGAAATTTGATCTAATTTGGTATACGGTTTTTTTTGGCGGGAAGAAAAACGTGACAAGCTGGCGCGGAATAGGCTATATTGCCCTTTTTTTGGTCCTTATCGGGTCGAAAATTTCTCTTATTCCGTCATTTCTCACCAAAATACCCTACGTCTTTCACTGTGTTTCTTTTTTTTGTCCATTGCCTCGATTCACGGGTACTTTTTTGAATTTTTTTTCGATGCAATAAAAATCTTTCCTTCCGAGCAAGTGTTTCAAGAAAATTTTACGTTGTCACGCGGTTCCTGAATACTTGTAAAAAACGAATAATTATCATTTTTCATTAACCTGCTGCCTCTATATATGTGCTGGTTGCATTAAGCCTTTGTAAATTTCCTTTCTGAAAATGATTATTTAAGAATGGAAAGGTCTGGGCGCGTGGATCTCATGCACAACTACGGCCTCAGAAGGATCATGGCTCCTTGGCTCAGCTGGTAGCGCCACAGGCTATTACCAAGCATATCAGTGGCACGATCCTCTTCGAGGCTTATTTTGTTTTGCAAACCTTTCCCAAACTTTTCCCTCTTGCTGTGCTTCGATCCGGCGTCCGGCATCTCACAGGTGTGTTTGAACCCTGAGTTTCTACTTTAATGGAAATAAATAGGGTTATTACCGTATCCGTAGTGCTAAACTTTTCTACTTCGCTCTTTTTTTCAACCTAAAACATCGATTATTTATTAAGAAAACCTCTAATAAGGACCTCTGCAGTTTTATCGGCCTCTTTGGACTTTCCTTTATGGGAAGGCTGAAAATGAAAGTAATCAAGTTTTTCTGTTAGCTTTTTACCTGAGTATGTTGAGATCGGTATCGCGACGCCAGGTCGGGTGGCCGAATTTCTTCCGCCGTTTTTAGAACTGGCCCACCTCCGGCTTTTTCCAAAATGTTCAGCAAAGTTATCAAAGAAATTGATGGGGAATTTGAAGTTTTCAATACGGAAAATGAAAAATGGAAGCTCGTTCTGTTTATTTCCAGCGGAATTTCTAATTTTATTTTTTTTCTAGATTGCGAAGGATTGTTTCTATGATATACTCTAGATTATGGAGATTCCGATAACTTTTTTTTAACCTGCTCCTCCTTTGTTCTGAGGCTTCTTGATCTTGGCTAGCGGGTTGACGTCGTCCTCTTGGGTGTAAACCGATTTCTGAGTTTTCATCCAAGTTTTGAAAGTCTTCTAGAACATGAAACTGACCGGCGTATCATCTGGCACGTTTATTTTCATATTTTTGAAAATTTCATCGGCGCTGTAAAGTTTCCTGAATTTTCGTTTACTCAGTGATTTCTTAGAAACTTACTCGTTGCTCTCCTTTTCCTTGGTGCCCAATCCAAAAATCTGTTTCATTTTTCCGAAAGCTGTCGACTTGTTGTTGGACGAGACGTCTTCAGATAGTTCACACTTAAAGAAACGTTTTTGAGATGTAGAAGGCGAGGGGTGAAGATATACTTGTCGTGACTACTTGCGGTTTGGCAGTAACTACTAAAATTTGAACGCGAATGATCTTTCTCATCTTTTTTTTTCCTGATAATGTTACCATGTATTTTGTTTTTTGAAACTTGATAATTTGAGAGCTGCAAGTTGAACCGCTCCATTATTTTTGAGAGCTGCAAGTTGACCCACTGTATCATGTTTGAGAGCTGCAACTTGAACCGCTCTATTATTTTTGAGAGCTGCCTGTTTCTTTTGGTTATTGCTGTTATATTGGAGGTTTGGTTGATAAAAATATGAAAAAATACCATTTCCTAAAAAAAAATCCCGATGCGCGTTTGAATTTTCAGCCGCTTCGCAAGTTACTCATCGAGACGTGCGGAGCAAGGGAAAATAACTATATTTTTTATGAGCTTCTCCATGACTTTTGTGTGTTCAGATTTCGATAGTGTGTTAAATTCAGCTTCTTGAACACTTTCGGAAATTTTCCTATTGTTTCTTGTGTTCAAAGAATGCATTTGATCAAATAATCTTAAGGTCAAAAGTATCTCTGAACAATATCGAGAGCTCTGTGATGTTTTTAGATTGGCAAACAGCAAGTTGATTTTAATGGAATTTCGTTCGAAAGAGTTTTATCTTCGAGAGATATTCTGCAAAAAGCTGAGGGTAGGTTTGAGTTCAATAACATTCTATTCGAGCTCTAGCTTCAAGTTCAAAATGAGAAGATGCTGATTTTCCGCAAATCATTCATTCGTATAGTCTGTGTGCCACGACTTGTAATTTCACGGAACGACATTCCGCTGTTCCGCTGCGTGCGTTCGCGAAGCGTCTTTCGAATCTAGGTCACCCTTTCGATTGATTGTTTTTGCTGTGGGAGCACATTAAAGTAGAGAACCTTAATAAAAGAAATAAAAAATTAAAAGCGTGACCGAGATTTGCAAAGGCGCACAGCGGAATGTCGTTCCATGAAATTTCAAGTCGTGGCACACAGACTATATTTAACTATGAAACCTCGGAGTCGGACTGTTTCTTGGGTGTGATGCCGGTAGTAGAGGCGCTGGGGACGCCCATGATCACTCGCTTCTCGGCCCGCTTCATGCCGCTTTTCTTTTTGGAGCACTGCGCGACCAAAAGGAAGAGGGTAGCGAAAAACGCGATCCAGATTGGCCAGGCCATTATAGAAATGCCAAAGTTCCGAGGGAATTCCACGTTAATTGTCCGATTTTTCTCCCAACGGCAACACGTCGATCCGTTCTCTGTATTTTTTTTCTCGATTTTTAAGCTCCATTATCTCTAGACCGGAATGAAAAAAAAAAGATTTTTGACGAGTTTTTATCAAACGAAAAAGGAAGCAGTCATGTTGGCAGTTTGGCAAATGGCTGAAAAAAGCGTCTTCAATCGCTGGCCTGTGTCGCTCTAGAGATCGTTTCGTCCTGCGTTGGACAGAGTTCTTCGAGGCGGTCCTGGAAATGTTTTTGGCAAATTGAGAAGTGAACGTTGGGTTTAAATATCAAACTACAGCGAAAAAAAAAACTAACTTCCTGTCGAAGCTTCAGAAGGCGGCGCTGTTCAGACTCTTTTTCGATATCCGGCTTATAATCCTTCTGCAAAAGTTGAGTCTTGGAGTCTTGTTACTGTTTTGAACCGAAACGGCTTTTCTTCAAAAATTACTTTTCAAACAGAATCCGTTCAACGGGATTTGCTCAATAATCGTTATAAAATTGTCTCAAGTTGTTTTTTTTTCTATTCTCTTCAATTGCTTTGGAGAACACGTGAAATGATTGGATGGAAACTAAAAAGCTGGTTCTCATGCATTGGCGCAAGTCGCTAAAAGTCGGACGCGTCTCGAGCCATTCCCCATGCGACCATTTCAAAACTGACGAATTCTTCGTCCGTTACTGCGTCTGTGACTACGCCCATAGCTCCCTCCTGAGAAATTTCGATAAAGAAACAGAAAGAAAATGAAGCTGACCTTCTCGAGCTCACACATCAAGCCTTCGAGGTAGTCGATGATCTGGAAGTTTTCAAATATGAATTATTCTACAAAAACTAATGGAAAACCTCATCCATCATCGGCCTTTCAATGGGTTCGTATGCCCAGACCTTCTCCTCGACGTAATTGACCAACTTTGGTGGCGTTCCTTCCGAAAATTGGTTATAAGTGCCAGAAAGAATCTGAAGTTGGCTTGGACATGTAAAGTTTAGAGAACTTCTGAATTTTCGACTTTTTACAATTTTTTTTCCGTTCGTTGGCTTCTTTTTCAAGAAAACTTGAAAACTTTTGTGCTCTTAAGAATATTTTTCCGTTAGTTGTTTTGTGATGATTAATGTAAAAACTTTTTCTTAAAAATATATTTTTCGTTTTCGATTTTTGTTTAGCCGGAAAAATCAGCCTCATCAGAAGGCTGATTGGACCTTTCTATATCAATGAAAAATTCTTGCTTAACTTCTTCTGATTAAAAAAATTTTTTTAGAGTTTCCAAGGCTCTAAGGACTTTTTCCATTTTTGGTACTTTATTCTTATTTCTGTAATGCGAAAAAAAAGCAAACATACACATTGTCTCACGGTTGTTGAGAGGAGCCCCGCGTACGGGATGCTCCCCCCCGTAAAAAGTTCGAAGAGGAGCACCTGAAAAATGGTCTTTATGTACAGGACTGATTGAAGGAAAAGCTCACCCCGTAGGTGTAAACATCGGATTTAAACGAAAAAACGAAGTGCGTGAGGACTTCGGGAGGCAGGTAGCGGAGTGGAAGCTTTTCCGCGAACTTCATGCGAAAGAATGATGCCTTTATGCTAAGTCCGAAGTCGCTGATCTTCGGCTGAAAAAGAAGTTTCCGGTCAAAAAGTGAGGCTCAGAAGGTTTTCAAAGCTTTTCAGCTTGCAAAAATCAACAAATATTCTTTCTCGCTAGAACAGTCTGACCTCTCTGCGCTCTTTTTTCCTCACCGCTGAGGTCATAAAACAAGGAGAGAGCACGTAAAAACGAGAAAGTCGACAAGGGAAAAGAGGGTGAAGAGAAAGTTTCAAATTTGGACTATTCATTTTTTTTTTGTTTGGGTTTGAATTGCGAATTTCGAAAACAGCACGAGAAAATGAACGTCTCTGAGAGAAAAGAGGGCGCAGAGAGATCAGACTGTTTCAAGTCGCGGTGAATGGACTCCTTTTTTCTGTTTCATTTTTGGAGCTTTTCAGTTACTTTTCCCCAAAAAACGCTCAATTATTTTTTTGGAAAAGTTCAGAAAACAGCTATTGAGATTTGAAATTTCAAGATCTGACCGTTCCATCGGACGCTAGGAGAACATTCCTCGCTGCAAGGTCTCGGTGTATGACACGATTTGCATGCAGATACTCCAGGCCTTCACCAATTTGCACCGCAAAACTCATCAATCGTTTGGTGCTGGTGACGTTGAAATGGTTTAAAAGGTAGATATCCAAAGAACCACCTGCAAAAAAGGATTGTTCATTAAAGACTTGTAATGTTAATTATTTTTTACAAGTAGAAAAGGATTAGTAGCATAATTATAAGGCTTCAAACTGTCCTTTTTGAAGAAAAACGAAACTTTTTCGAAAACGAAAAAATATTGAGCAAAATTGTTTTTTTTTTTAGCAATGTTGCTAACATTTCTGGTGGCCACTTGAGAGGTTCCTCAAAGACTACTTGGAGAGGATGCTAAAGTGGTCACTAACACCACTTCTATGGAAGCCACTATTTTGTCTTTTAATGAAGACTATCCTGAATTTTAGTGCTCTGCTAGTACCACTCAGACTTTTAGAGGAATTGTCGGCAGATAAGTGGCCATTATTCCGACTACTAAAGGGGTCAATAGGATGTCAAAGCCCTAAAGTGGTCACTGAAACTTATCCAAATTTTGGAAACGTTCCGCTTTCTTATCATCTCTTTTTTCTAGTTTTTTTTTTTGGTTTTACCTTTGGTTTTGCTGTTTATCATAAAATCTTAGTTTTTTGGTAAAACCTTTTGGTTTTGCTGTTTATCATAAAATATTAGTTTTGAAAGGAATAATGTCCCAAGTGATAATTGATTCGAAAAAGCTCATAATGGCGCCAATCATTTAGGCGAAACTTCATGATCAACTGTTTTTTTTTTCAAAAATGGAAGCTTTTTTCCAAAAGATTCCTTATTTAATTTCAAAATCTCATTCGGGGAATTTTTCGGAACTAACCCGGCATGAACTGTATGACGAGCTTGATCGGAAGCTCATAAAGACACCAGCCAAGCATCTGGACGACATTCGGATGCTCCAAGTTGATCATCATTCGTCCTTCTTCCACTAGTTTATCGCTTAACTCTGTCGCGTTTGGCGCTCCGAGCTTGAGCTGAGATCGGAACAAATATTGATTTTTTTGCCCTTTTTTGTCCTTTTTTAATAATAATGATTCATTTCATTCACAAAAATATCATCTGTGAAAAATTAGGAGACAGGTGATGGGCACATGGAGTGAGATGAATGGAAATAAATGAAACCCGAATTTTCAGCACCCCAATCAGTGTATGTATAACTGTATAATGTATTTTCTCAAATTCTAGATCCAAGTGAACTCGTTAGGGTTCACGCTGATCTGTCAATAAATTATTATAAGTGCAGATACCGGGACCCTTTGGTTTTCAAGACTTGATACCATTATGAGGATTACAGTTCTTTCGAACCAAATGATAGTGAAAATAATTTTTGAAGTGGTGTTTGGTGTTTCGAGTTGAAACCCACTGTTTTGGTGGCCGCAACGTCGTCGAAAATTCCTGGTCGTTGTATTTTGCATAAAGCCACGTCGCCGAATTGGCCGCTGCCTAGCTGAAAATTTACAAGTTTTTCCTTTTCTAAATGCTATGGTACTAAAATGAGATTTTGAAAGTCAATTTTCTATCTTTCCAATGGTCTACAGTGGAATCACGCGTAAATCGGTTTTAATCGGGCGCAAAGAAAAAAAAATTTCGGTGTTGTGCAAGATCTGCGTGCCGAGTCATTCTATTTGTGGCCGTATGATTTCGAAGAGAAATAATGGCTTGTCAAATAGAAAAAATAATAGCAAATTTATATCGTCCATTCAACTTCACTTGGGATATTCTGCCCTCATTGCGTCTCTTGTTGCTCACCTACGATGTCATCGACCATGAAAATACAGTGTTAAAATGAGAGAATCGCAGAAAAATAATAACATGTATTTTTTTTCGCTTCATTTTTTTTTGCTGTTTTTGAACTGGCTAGGGAACTACTCGAACTCGTAATCGCGGATCGAGTTCAAAATCTAGTGGTTTATAGACCCAAGCGAGAATACTTAAAAACAAGAGAGAATATCTGCTGAACCCAATAAGAGAACTGAGAAAAAATTAGTAAAAAATGTGAAAATTAGGCCTGAAAATTTCCAGAATACTGCTTTTTACCTTATTTTATATTGCAATACAATCGCCTTGAATAATATGGCTATAATAAACTCTAAAAAACTTGTTTCGAGTCAAAAGAATGAGGAAAGCAGAAATTTGATAATTTTCAAGCCTAAACTGTTCATTTTTTCATTTGCTTCTTCTCAGAAGCTTATGGGGTTTAGCAGATGATCTCTCTTGTTTCCAAGTACTCTTACCCGGGTCTATAAGCCACTAAATTTTCAACTCAAAACGAGTACCCGAGTCCGAGTAGTTCCCTAGTGAGAGAAGCCTAGAAGAGTTCGTCCACCGCGAATCGACAGTTTTCAAGTGTCTGCGTCTCTCTGTTCCCTCACCGGCGAGGTCAGAGAAGCACGAAAATATCACGTCAAGATGAGAGGTTCGGCGAGAGACAAGCCTCTTCAAGTTGCGGGATCGGACTATACATATCACTCACTTTTTTTATCTCTTGAATGTTTTCCGTCTCGAATTCAAATACTTTCCGTGGTACAGCGGCAAGTAATTGCACGTCTAGGGTTGACTGAAGAAAAAATAACTTTTTCTGGACATTTGAGCTGTCGATTTCTCTTTTCAGCTTCTGCTTTGAGCTTATCATAAAGAAGTCTAACCTTTTCCTCATGGAAAACATAATACGAGAGGAGATTGTCGACGCTGTCGAAACAATTCAAACCGTCGATGGAATAGTCTACTTCATTTTTAACGATTACGTAGGTTTTCATCACAACTGGAATTACTTCCTCCTCGTTCGCGACTGAAATTTCAAAAAATGAGAAGGTCTTTCTGACAACCTTCCTGGTCCGTATATACAATCTTCTCGTAATTTTCAGAACATCCATATTAACTAACTTTTTCGAAACAACTTTGGAAAAACTTTGAGAAAAATTACAATTCCTTCGACACCTTTTCGGATTCAACTTTTTCTCACAAGCTCTCTTTTTTCGTCCTATTTTCATGTCGAGGGAAAATACACAGGAGTGTGAGAATGTTTCAAGTAGTGCCGAGTTAACCATTACGAGTATGATAATATTGGAAGGTTTCTTTTCGAATGGAAATCATGAAAATTGGTAAATTCATTTCCTTCACCTTTTTCGCTTTCACACCTCGCTTCATTCTCCCAAAAGCAATTTTCAACCATCGCCTCTCCAACGCTCACAAGGATCAGATTTTTCTTCCCGTCTGAAAATCTAATTTTCGTCTCGCATTTCCCAACGGACCGTTATCCAATCTGATGATATAGTCGCCGACGTCGTGGATCAATTTTCGAGCGTCCAGGTCGGAAAGGTAACTGAAAAAAAAATAGAGTAAAAGGCGCCCAAATTCGAGATCGAAAGCAAAAAAATCAGTGGCCTAGAAAAAATGGGTTTTTCAAATTCTATGGATTTCCCTCAGGAACAATAATGTCTTGTCTTCGGCTCAGAGAAACTTTGGGAGATTGAGAAGAGTTGTTAGAGATTATTTTTAGTTTGGACTTTAATTTTTTTCAAAATTCCTTTTTATACTAGAATGATCCTCAGAAAAAATGAAGAACAACTGGACATAATTAACCCGTGAAAGCCCGGCCATTTTTTTGAGTTTGTCCACCGGTTTTTTTCTGTAGAATCGATGTCCGTCAAAAAGTACCGGTACAAGAAGTTCGTGAGCTGTAATATTTCAAATATTTGAATATTTGAAGCTTTTGGGCTCTTCTTCTATTAAATTTAATTGATTTTTATTAAAAACGGACTTTCGATCGGCGCTGGCAAAAATGGTTGTTACGTTGTTAGATTCTGAGCCCCTTTGACGTCGTTCTGAAAAAACAATTAGTATAGATTTTTCATTTTAAATTAATCATGAAAGCTTAATTTTATAAGTATATTCCCATAATCCACAAGACTTAATGCAATCCTTATCGGCCATTTCTCAGATCATAGAAGAGTGCAAATGGTGAATAAAAAGAGGCTTGTGCGAGGGCCGGCCCGTCAGCCAATGTCGGGCGTTTTTTAAAAAGGCTGGAGGAGGCTGGGCGTGGCTTAGCGCGACAGACTCGCTGTTAAAGGAGACGTTTATCCGCAGAGATTTACGCTCACGTGTGAATATTTCTGACAGTTAAGTTCTGTAAAACTGTTTCTTTTTGAGAACATCGTACGTAGAAATGTTCATCTCAAGACGAAATGGAACCCCGAACAAATTATGGGAGCTTTTTAAGAGTGAAAATTAGCTATTCTTCCGTGGGCAATTACACTCTTTTGTGACTCATTTTTGGTTTTCGAATCCCGAAATACTTCTCATCTCACGACGGAGAACCGAAAGACGCCAATAAAAAAATTCATGGAAACTTATCAAGAGAAAATCCCTGTAATCCTTTTTAAAATGAAATTTTTGATGAAAAAAATAAAAACCGGGAAAAGTTTTTTGAAGATAAAGAGAGATTAGAATTTATCCCGGAAAACCACTTCTTTTCTTCAAAACTGAAAAATTCGATCCGCATCTTCGAGATAAGAATTTTCCCACTGAACCGTAGTTTCACCCTATTTTGTGGACTATATCGCAGCGAGTAACGCTATACCGCGGGGGAGCCGCGAGCGATATCGCTCGCCTCTCGCTGCGACCTCGCAAACGTCTTGCGCTATATCGCTCTCTGAAAAATTTTTCTTCAAAAATGTTTTTTTTTTTGAATTTGATTGATTTCATAATAAAAGTCTAAAATAAAGCAAAAAAAAATGTTTTTCAAATTTCAAATTTTTGAGAGGGATCGATATGGCAGCGAGACATCGACGAGGTCGCAGCGAGAAGCCTTGACTATATCGCGTGCGGCCCGCTGCGATATCGGCAATTATGTTGGGTGTTATTGAAGAGCTGCTTAAGCTGGACAAGTGCGCTCTAGCGAGAACTTCTGATTGGCCCTAGCTGATACATCAACTTTTATTTTTTAGCATTGACTTGTAGAGAAAAATAATCTCAAATCCTCAAAATCATCACATTAAAAAGTCAGTGAATAGCACAATAACCTTTTCCCTTGAGCTTGTCAGCCATGTAACGAATGAGCATCATCATGTCTGGCTTGTTCGTCGGCGCTGTGTTTCCACTAGACGGTGGGCTTTGATATGTGGGTTATGCCGCTTCAAAGCTTGACGTTACGTCAAACTCTAAGCGTATTACTTTTCTGATTTGTTTTTATGGGAAGTTTAATGATGGTTTTTTTTTTCGAGAATGCGATTTCAAAGCGTGACGTCGGAATTTGAGCGGGTTTTAAATGGGAAATGAGTTCTTTGATGGACACTTTTAATAAAAGTCTAATTTATTTATTGCGGTAAATGAACTCATAAATGACCACGTTCACTGGAAATGAAAGAATAAAAAATATAATGAAGGCAAAGCAACCGAGTTAGCCTCATAACTACTCCGAGCGCTCCGACGAGCTGACCATCTCCGGAATGGGTGAGCTTTCTGTTCCTCTTTTCCTCCGTACAAGTGTCGTGTGTCGTGTGCATGCACTGCGCCACTCCCGCGCAGAAAATTGCTTGTATGCAGTACGTAGACCTCTGCACGGCGTTCCCAAATGGGGTGAGGGAAGGTGAGCGAGGCGTCAAAGTTTCTGAATTTACAGGAAAAATTTAGTGCGCGCTACGGATAAAATGCACTGAGTATCAAACGTTAATAACTTTTTTGTTCGATCGCCTTCGACTGGGTACTGTAAATTTCATCTTTCGCGCCAAATTTTTTTTGACGTTTCCCCACCCCGTTTGGGAACACCGTGCTCTGGCAATGCGGTCGCCTGCGTCTTTAATATGCCTTGTCATTTGAGCTCTTACTAGTTAGAGCCGGAATCTCTGCCGTTCCTATGACATCACGGATGAACGGCTGAGCTTTCAACTCCGTCCACCATATTATTGGATTTTCTTTCATTAAAAATAGGCCATGAAGCAAAATAGGCATTAACATAGATTGGAACGTGGCACATTCTTTAAAACTTTGAAACTATGAAACTTTTATTCAGTCTTCAGAGAAGGTTTCTCTGCTGAATCATGGAATCATTGAAGAGCTGTTTGTCGGTTCGCGAAACTGTTGTTGATCAAGCGTAGACGGCGCGTAGAGCCTCTCGTCTCTCTTTTGATAGTAGTAGACGACTTTCGAGCGCTCCGGCGATCACTGCTTCTCCATGTAGGAACAGTACGGCGCCCAGCTTGTCCAGGGCTGGCGGGCGTCGGAAAATTGCCTTCTTTACAAGTGTGCAACTTTCGTTAGACTTTTGATTAATCTTTGAACTTTCGTTAGACTTTTGATCGTTGAGCTAACCTTCTGTTTTGAGGTTCCTTCGCAACGCAGCAAATCTGTACGATCATGGCGATGCTGTCGGAGCAGGATCAACAAATTAGTCAGTTTCCTCAGTCTTTGGCCTGTTTCATTTGAGATTTCAGTTGAACTGATCCCCCTCTTCATCCGTCAATGGAAAGTCGGCAATCTCAGTTCGTTGATATTTCTTTTGTTTTCAGAGAAGATGAAGATGTGTAGTAGTATTATAGTCCGTTTTTAGCGACTTGAAAAGACGAGAGTCGGTTAAGGTTAGACGGACTACGTTCTATGCATAAAATCCAGTTTCGGGAAAATCAAGCTAAATAACAATAAAAAACATTGTCTTCTTGTTCCAAGGCGCCTTTGCTTGGCAGACCAAAATTCAGTTCTCAAATAAGTAAGCCGAAGTAAATATGCTCCTTGAAGCTAAATGCAGCCTTTATAAAGTCAAAGAGAACTAACAAGGCGTGGCCGGTTTTAACTTTCATTTTGAGGAGTCGAAATAAAGGATTGGCACCGGATGAGCATCTCCCAGTTGGCCAAGTTTAAGTCGAACGAAATCGTGAATCCAGAAGTTGACTTTGCGTACAATCGGAACTTCTGCAAGGTTGATGTTCCGGCCAACGTCAAGGTCCTAGATGCGAATCCAGAGTTCGATGAAGCTTTAAGAAAGCTGGAGATCGTCAAAAAAGCTCACGTGGCCGGCGAACAGTTCCAAGCAGCCAAAGATACGAAAGTCGTCTCAGACTTTCGTCGAAAGAATCCTACCGAAGATATGAAAGTACTGGCGAAGAAGTATGGGGTTTGGCCGAAGGAACCAGAACATGGCGAGAAATTGAAAGAGAATGCCAAACACCCCTGGAAAGGGTACGAAAAAAAGCCTAAAAAGCAAACTCGGAAAAAGGCCGGCGAGGATACGCCTCTCAGCAAAACCAATACCACCACATCAAAAGCTGAGCAGAAAAAAAACGAGTCTAAGAAGGTCGCGCCAAAAATGGAAGTGAAGAAGAACGAGGCGCCTAAGATTGAGCCATTGCCGCAACTGGTGCCGCTGGGTCGAGTCGACAGAAAAAACTGTAAGCCGCTGGTGATGGCTCCGAACTCCCCGGTCTACTTCCCCGAAATTGATCTGCAGTCGAAAGTTTTGCGTGAGTTTTCTTCGATTCGTATTCTTCAAATTTAGAGAAAAATGTTTTCAATGATAGGAAACGAACTTTGATCAATTTTCTGAATTAGTCGAAACCATTCCCGATTGAGGGAAAATTTTCAATGAAAATAAATGCTTGGAAAAACTTGACAAGTCCCCTGAGGTTCCCTTTGAAGTATCCTCTAATGAACATTTTATTTTTCAATTTTGAAGCATGTAAAAAAAGAACTTTATTGGTCTTCAAATTTTTAAAAATGTTATGAAGTCGATTGGAAGAGAAATCGTGCTTCAGCATTTTTTCACTATTTCATCTCTTGATCGTAAGATGAAAATGAAGATTTTTTTACAGAAGACGCTTTTACCGTGTTCACGTTAATGTGCGATCAGTTCGATAAATTTTTCGTGACTCACAAAGAAGGTGAACAAAGAGTTCCAACTTGAAGGAAATCTGTTTTTCGTTTTTAGTTTGGGTCCTAGTGAATGAAACGGCTCAGCAAGCGTCTGCAATCACTGACCGAGAGATTTTTGAAACCGTTGGTTTTGAATACAAAACATCGAAATCAAAAAAGCTGTCGGAGAAAACGGAGAATCCAAAGTGGAAAGATGCGTTCAAAGGAGTTTTCGATGCTTCGAGTGAGATTCGATGTGCAAAATGAAAATCACCATGCTTTTCTCTGTTCCAGTGTTTTTCGACGACCTGGTGCAGCTCCGCGCCAAATGCGATCCGAAGGACAAGGAGCTGTACAACTTGTTAGAAGAGCAAGAAAGAATCCGCGCTTTGCTCTTGCATTCCGCTGCGAAGAATTATTTATATTTCTTTGACAGTGGGTTTCGGTTTTGTTCGATTGCGAGTTTCAGAGTTTCAGTAGAAGTAGAAAAATGAGCTTCGAGGTTCAAGCTAACAAAAATAATTTCTGACGTTTTATTAACTTGCTGAAGACTTCCAAAGAAAAATCAAAAAATAGTTTTCTATTGAAATTTTTGATAGCCTTTTTTTTCAGTGAACGTGCTAAAAACGAATTCAGTTTTCTGAAACTTTGAAATTTGAATTTACTAAAAAACGGCCTCTTTGCCTCAAAAACGATTGTTTTCAGAAGCGACGAGGCTTAATCAAGCCATTCTGCCCGGCGAGACGCCTCTCGCGATGAGAAGACGCCATTGGAGTTGAGATTTGGTCGTTTTCAAAATTGATGGAATGTTTCCAGAGGAGGGCGAGGTCACCGAGAAGATCAGCACTCTTGCCTGGGCCCGCCGCTTGAGAATCAACCCGGTGAAAAAGGCCCCCGTCAGAGACTACGTGGAGATGAAAAAAACGCTCCCACATCCAACGGGCCCCGACGAAAAAATGGAGAAGAAGAGCAAGAACAAAAACAAGAAGAAATGAGAAATGTCTCTCTTTGATGTTTCATGTCCGATTTCTTCATGTGCATCAATCGGCCCTTTTTCTTTGGAATTTGTAGTCGTATCGACGATATAAACTTTGAAATTTGATTCCTTGGCTGATGTTGAAAGAGTACTTTGAAGCGTCCCTCGCGAGGTGGCTCATTCTAAAGAAAAGAACTTCAAATGGTCTATAGTCTGTTCAGATTTTGAATGTCAAGCAGCTAACTCCACCCCCAAGGCTACAATATCTTTCGCGTCAATGTTTTATCTACATATGCCAATGGCCCTTTAATAAGGCTGCTTTTTTGACCTCTTTTTCTATCTTTTAGATCGAAAAAGATCAAAATTAGTCCCGCGCGATGAAACATCGACGCGAAAAGGTACCGTCTCAGCAGGGGCGGAGTTAGCTGGTTGACATTCAAAATCTGAACAGACTATAGGTTATTTACGGTGGTCGGCCAGGTTGCGATTTTGCGAAGGCGCGCAAGTTTTCGGCGACTTTTTTGGTTCCCAGGCATCGCTGGTACGATTTTATGTCAAGTCCGCAAACCTTCGGAGCCGTAACCTCGGAGCACCATAATCTCAAGGCCCATAATCTCTGAAGCCACTAATCTCTGAGAACAGAAACTTCAGTTTTCTTTCTACTTTTTGTATTCTTAAAATCTTTTCTTCTTGGGTTGAGCTCGAAGATTTTCACTCCGCGTTATTCAGGAATAAGGACTAGGATCCTTTTGGAGGACGCCATAAATTTCAGGTCACGATGTTCCGCGCAATGAAAAAAATAATGCGAAATTTTGGGTCCCAGCGGCATCTCGGAAAAATATTATCCGTGGCCCTTCTCATGGTTTCTGATCAGGCTTGTGCGAGGGCCGGCCCGTCACCCTCCCGGCCCCCCGTCCATTTCGTAAGCCCGGCCCGGCCTTAGCGGGGCCTCAAGAAAAAATGGTCCGCCCGGCCCAAAGCGCGCAATTTTTTTCTAGTCGGATATCAAGTTTTTTTACGATTGATAAAATATCTTTTTAGTACATAAAAAAATAACAATATTGGAAGAAGGAAAATGATTGAAGAAAGGGGGAATCTGTGCGCTATGGATATTTTTTTTTCGCCAGCAGCTCGCGAAAGACGGGGCGCGCGCTGGCGAAAGATTGGCGGAAAGCTGGCGACTGGGTTCAGAGTAAAAGAAAAAAAATGAAAAGCGCGACCGAAATTCGCAAAGGCAAGGCCTTTCGCGACAGCGCGCACTAAAACCACTAGAACAACGGAGTGTCGTTCCATGAAATTTCAACTCGTGGCACATCGACTATACCAAAATGCTCGATATAAAGATTTCCCTAGTATAGTCTGTGTGCCACGACTTGAAATTTCACCGAACGACGTTCCGCTGCGTACGGTCGCGAAGCGTCTTCGCCTTTGCGGATCTAGGTCACCCTTCCAGACTATTTTTATTGCTGATAGATGGATTGTTCCACTGCGAGTATTTGAATGAAGGAAGAAACGGAAAGCGCGACCGGGATTCGCAAAGGCGCCGGCGGAACAGCGGAATGTCGTTCGGTAAAAATCCAAGTCACGGTACACAGACTATAACTGAACTTTCTTAGGAAACCTCAGAAAAGCGTCCGTGATCCCTGCTATCTCCCATCCAACCAAAATCTAGCCTGACACGAAAAATACCACCCGCGATCATCCTACCGCCCACTGGGAAGTGCTCTTCTCGGCAGCACTGCCTTTGAGCCTTAGAAGCTCCAGTATGGTCCCTATAGGGGTTTTAGTTAGTGGCCCTCATAGGGGCATTCTAATTGAGAATTTTGTGTACTCTCTGTGGAGAAGCTGTTACACCGGAAGGGTCACCGGCTCTTCCGTGTAAGCTTTAGACGTGTTGAAGGCAGACTGTCATGAAGTCTTTATTCGTGAGCCTCACACGCGTGTGGCCAAGACGCGTGCAGGGGAACCAAGTGAGATACAGGCGTGTCTGCCGGAGCAATTACACGCCGAGAGCATCGCTCACACATGAATACAATAAAACGGAGAGAGATAGTATTCCTACTGTAACAAAGCATTTCCACGCAAGCGTTTTTTTAAATGAAACTTAAAGACCCCTATAGGGACCACTTAAGCTATGGAGACTATTAGTACAGACCTTAAAAACCTACAGAACCCCAAAATATGTCCATTTTGAGACCTCCAGACTACTTTTTTTTCATTTTTAAAGTTTTGTTAACATTTAAAAAAAATGAAAACTAAAGTTCTAGATGTCCTAAATTAGAGGATTCGGTACCAATCGAAAAATGTTTTTTATTTACCTGAGATCCTAATTTCTCCGAAACCCACGTTCTTTCAACTGAACCTTGACGATTTTCCTACTGTCTAAAATGATCGAGTTCTCATGTCCGAATTTTTCAGAACTTTTTTAAATTTTGACTTTTTTTCGTTTGATGATTTCAAAGCATTTTAATGATATAAATTATTTATTAAGCTCAACAACATAATTGGAAATAATAATAATAATACGACAAAATAGGAGAAAATCTTACCAAGAATAAAATGGAAACCGTCAAATAATCAAAATACCTGTTCATTGGGAATGGAGAAATAGTCCAATAACTTGAAGGGAAGGTAAGAGAGTTGAATGAAGTTATTTAAGATGAATAAAATAAAAGAACAAATCAGGAGGAAGAAGAAATAATATATAAATAACTTGAACCCTTTCCAAAATTATTGAGGACAAGTATTATAATAATCAGAATAATCAAATAGTACATAAATAAGTCAAAACCTGATTTCACGACGGATTTTCTCCAAGTCAGGGACTTGATCCACAGCGTATTGGAGACAGCCAACGTTGTATTTGAGCTCCTTGACCATTATAGCGTAAAACATGTCGAACTTCTATAAAATATGTGATTTAAAATTAGATGGTTCAAAGGAAAAATAAAGAATCTGGTCCAATCCAATATTCCTTTCATTGCAAGTAAAAATGAAAATAAAAACTCACGCAGTTGTGCTGAAAACGGCCTAAAGCTTCACAGAGGCGAAGGCATTCATAACGGATGTTATGCGCCTTTTTCAGGACCTCTTTGACGATCTTCTGGCCGGTTCTTCGGTGGAGAAGGGTCAGGTCTGCGATTTCCTTCTCCAGAATCACCAGGTCGTCGTCCAGCGTTGTGAGGATCTTCTGAGCGAGATTCTGGAAAAGATTCCGACGTTTTCAAGGAGTTCAAGTGGGTTGGAAGCTTTCTGACGTCTTTTTAAGCTTCTTGAAAGTTTCAAAAATGACCTTGTATCTTTTATAGAACTGAAAATTCTTTCAGAAAGTTCTGGAGGATCCTAGAAGACTTTTAGGAAAGAAATCGCTGTCCAAAGGTATTCAAAAGGTTTCTAGGAGCTAAAAAGGTATTGGAAGTCTCACTAGATGGGTCGAAGGCTAGGCAGTACTTGAATATTTTCGAAAAAAGTTTAGAAACAAGAAAAAAACCCACAATCATCCACCGGGCATCGGTGCTCGTGAAATTATTGATCCCTCTCATCTTGTGCGTCAAATCGAACTGAAAAAAGATTTCTTGCTGAAAATTCCGTTAAAAACTCACATAGAAGGTCAGTCTGTCGAATTCGGCCTGAACCTGGTCTCCACACGTCTTCAGATTCTGAAGACGTGCCATCCATTGTTCCTGTCGTCGGGCCTTCTCGACGATTCCGGCGACGATGGCGGCGATGTCGATCACGGTGTTCATCTTGATGGCTTGGGAAGAGAGAATAGACGGTCCAAAGGTTTGGATAATGTCGGGTAGTACTACCATCTGATGGTACCTATATATACTAATCGGTAGGCTCCGCCCCCTAATTAAGCTCTCATGCCGGAGGGCCGAGAAAAGTGAAAATGTGCCAAGTCGCGCCTCTTCTTGGAAGCTTGCTCAGGTGTCAATTGTGATGATTACTTACCTGTCAAGGTAAGAGTGACTTATTTGGAAGTTGAGAGGAGGTGTTGATGAGAATTAGGAAAATATTATCACTTTTTCTTTGTTGACAACTTTTTAGTGCCTCTGGTGAGCTGAGAAATAAGGCAATTTTTTGTGGAAAAGTTAAGTTCATTTGTGACTTTCTCAAGCACCCTATTAGGGGGCTTGGGAATTTTCTTTAAATGTTTGGTGTTTCCGTAATCAGAGGAAGAAAAAAAGCCATTCTCCGTGCAACCACCATCTTTCAAGTCGTGGTCCCTTTCTCTACATCTCTTCCTTTCATCTTGAGAAAAATGATTGTTCCCAAAAAGTTCAGTTTTAAAAATAATAACAATGATAACCGCACCATTTTATGCAATAATGTTAGAAACGGTTGGAAAAAAACCGAAAAACAGGAAAATTTACCGAAAAAAAAGAACAAGACGCGATCAACTAAAAAAACAGTGTAAAATCAAGAAACAAGGACGGGAAGAGGATGAGCTTCAGTGTTGAAAATCCAGTAGTTCAGCGAAAGTAGGGAATCGTCCGCAAAGGCCAAATAAGCGTATTTGAGGGTTTCGGCGAGGAAGAACGACTGTTGCACGTCGTCGTAGCCCTAAATAGTTCAAAAATTTGATTTTTTCTCTTTCAAAATGTGTTCAAAATGTGTATTAGTGGCTTTAGTGGCCACTTTACTGGGAAAATTTTTAGTGGCCACTATAGATGACTACTTAGAGAGGAATTTTAAAGGGCCACTAAACCCACCTCTATAGTGGCCATTATAGAGGTTCTCTATTTAGTGGCCACTTCAGTAGTTTTTCATCCAGTATTCCTTCCAGTAACTCTGATAATTTTAAAACAAACAGGTCGGACCAGTTATGTTGATCCATTGACCCCCAAAGTGGCCACTAAAATGTTTAGTGGTCTAGTAGTAGCACTTAGACCCCTGAAGTGGCCACTAATTTTCACCCCCCTAAGTGGCCACTAACTTGACTACTGTAGTGGGCACTAAAACGTCAAAACCCTATAGTGCCCACTACACTGCCAAAGTCGAAAGTGCGGAAAACGGGTGCAAAAAGGGAGGGACTGCAAAATGGCCGCTAAAAGGGTCCCTTTTTACGGCCTTTATTGAGCCTTTCATTTTTGGTGGGTTAAAAAGGGTCATGAAAGGGCGAAAAAAAGGAGAGGCCGCAAAAAGGGTGAAGAAAGAGTGAGGGTGCAAAAGGGTCCTGAAACTCTTTTCTATTGATATTTTCCGGTTTCATTACTGTTGCATATTATGGTTCATACACAGTCCCTTGTAAAGATTATTCCTAATTTAAAAAAAAATTGTATTTCTCAAAAGGGTCCAAAAAGGGTGGACGAAGGCCGAAGAAAGGACGCAAAAAGGCAGTGAAAAGGAAACCTTTGGCACCCGTTTAGGAACAATTAATGGAAACAGACGGATCTGTAACGGACGCTCAAAGGGCCCGTGAAGGGTCCTTCCGACTTTGCCTATATGTAAAAAATTTCCCAATAGTTTCCTCTCCAAGTGGTCATTGAGGGATATTTTAAGGGGATACTAGGGTTTTTCGTTTTTTTAATTAATTAAT